ACAATTAGTCGTTTCCAGTCTTTTGTCCTCTGCATGCACTCATCCACTTCGCTCCATCACTTTGATTCTCTCACTCATTCTGTGCGTGTCTTTCAGATTTGGCATATACACAGCCTCTCCATCAGGCTCGGTGTATCAATAGAGTTGGAAGGGACGGTCTTTCAAGTTCAATTCACTCAGCGCCTGCTGGTGGCAGTGACATCTGAAGGTACTTTATCTTCTCTAGATATCCCTCTTTGACCCCTCACTGCTGCATGGTGCTATAGGCGTCTTTCAGAATGACTACTAATATTGTGTAAATTAGGTTGGTTATCACATGAGCCAAAACATAACGAGTTGAATTAATTTGATATGTGTGCAGCTTTCCTCACAATAATCAAGCTAAATAAAAGTTGAATACTTCATCACAGGCAGTGTAGTTTATATTAGGCACTACTGGGCAGCCACTTAAATTAATGTGCTCACTGATTTTTCAATAAGATAAGACCCGTTGGGATTATGAAGCTCATTAAGTTGCTTTGTGTGCGGACACCGTGTCATGCCGCAGCCTGTGATCTGATGAAGAGATACGGAAATGGTGCATTAGCATATATGCATGAGACGAAACACAGTGGCCTATAAAAGGGCAGGAAAACAAGACAAATTTCCATTTTAAGTCTGCAGCTTTCAGATTAATTCTCGTGAAAGACAGCAGAAATGACTTCACTTTAAAGAAGATCATGTAAAAATAGTTGACTGCTGAACAAATGTTTAAGATGTGATTATGATTTTCTAAATGTCGTGAGCATTTTAATAAATGCAAGTAGTCAAAACAAATATTTTTGTAATTAAGCCATAAAAATACAGTTCATATGATCTAAGCATGTCCAAAGGAACTTTAAAGGGAAAATTCAGTCATTTTGAGAAATGCAGTTAGTGTTCAGTCTGTCATTTATTTCATCTTGAAGAAATACTTTAGCCACCGCAGAGTTGGGTTCTGCGGAAATATTGTAAAATATGAGCATCTTTTCTGTTGTAGATGGCTTTTTGAAAAACCACGGTTTGGAAAAATAGAGTTTAAATTTGACTGGTCAGCAAGCAGGTTGCTCTGGTTCAAATCCCGCCCGGGGGCCTTTCTGGGTGGAGTTTGCATGTTCTCTCTGTGCATGTGTGGGTTCTCTCCAGGTACTCCCGTTCCCTCCCACAGGCCAAAAACATGCACGTTAAGACTCCTGTATACTCGCGCGCCCTGTCAGCCACGTGGAAACTGTGCGCACTGTCCACAGAGGGTTGAGACTTCACACTCGAGCGTCCACCCTGAGCGGCTGCAGTCAGCTCCACAGGAAAGGGGTGTTTACCTTCGGGACAAATTGAGGTCGCTGATTGGTCATTTGCTCTGACATGCCTACTGGATTGATTGACAAGTCGCATTTAAAACATTAGATAAATTTAAAATACGAGAGTTGGCAGCCCCAGCCACAGTGGTGTTCTGTGTTTATATATTTTTAATAAAAAGTTATTTAAAAAAAAGAAAAAACAGGGAGCGCTGGCCCTGCAGCCCACAGATCAGACCAGCCCACCAGAAAATCTCCAGACCCTCCTGCAGCCACGCTGGACCTGATTTTGATTCGCTCGTGACAAATTCCTTCATTTCTCACCATTTCAGTCATGGCATCAATAGAGGAAGAGATCACTTGCTTCTTGGGAAAAAAAAAACAACAAAAAACAAAAGAAAAGGCCATTAAACCAGATCAGGGATGAAGAAGGGGACTTTACTACATTGGTGTCGCATACAAAACAGCCCGTCGCCGGGCAGTTGATTGTGCGACACTGAGTACGCGTACGTGGTCGTAAAAATTGAGCTGTGCATGGACATGCCCTGCGGGCGTCCACTTCGAGTCTAATCCAGTACATACATATCTCTGCGGACTGACGTACGCCCGACTGTACTGGAGCCTTAAGGCTGATTGGTAACTCTAGACCAAGACCAAAGTTCATTTCACCCATCTTAAAACATCTCTAGGCTCCTTTGTCACTTTTGTTGGGAGATGCTCCTGATGGAATGTCAACCAATGACAAATATTTACTGAAAATCCTAAGTGCTGTAGCAAAAAAAGCAATTCCTCGGAAATGGCTTCAGCATGACCTACCGATACTGGAGAACGGACCGGTTGAAACTGGTTGAGGAAACCCATAAAATGGAGAGGCTAATGTTTATGCTGAGGCTGCACGTTGATCTCTACAGAAAGAGATGGGGTAAATGAACTAGATTCCTTGAGGACAGTTAGTTGGCGAGGTCTGTCTCAGCCCTGTGAAATGATATTCTGCATGCTGCTCAAAAACTAAAGTGTAATCCTGACTGCTATCGCATACCTGTAACTTAGTTTATAATTTTTTACAAGATTGTGACTATTATCTGCTGCCAACGTTGAATGGTTCTATCTGTTATGTTTACAAAAAGATAATCGATAAAAACTAAGTAAAAAAAAACACATCTAGGCTCCTACAATTTCACAGCGTTCTTGTGAATGCCATTTCTTGTACTTTTATGCTGCCATCAAGTCCTTAAGTTCAGAAATACTGAGGTTAATAAGCACAAATTCAATTCAATTAAAAAATACTTAAAATAGTAGCCGAGGCAGAGAGAAGTAACATTGCAGGTGCAGAAAAGGGCGACATGTGAGAGAAATATAATATTTCTGCCAGAATCATCACGTTATATAATATATATATAATTATATAATAATAATTTCTTGCGGGATCAATAAAGTTCTATCTTGTCTCTTATCTTATATAAATCTGTCAACAATATAAAGGTTAATTAAGTAACAATCAAATTAACTACTAGGATGTTAAGATAGCTGCAAATCCACTTTACTCACAGCAGCATTACGACTAGCTGTTAGTCAGTCAGCCCTGTTGGACTTACGCTCTTTGTCCAAATTGAGGCTATTCAAAGAGCTATCTACAACAGGTAAGATATTAATTCTTCATAAACTTTCTATAAAACCCAACTTCAAAATTATGAAACTATTTATTTAAATAAAACACACGAATGCATGCAGAACTTACCAAGCCTAAAGGCACTGAAGGAATTATAACATGTCTTATCTATCTGTTCTGATATTTGAACGTGCATCAGTTCTACAATATTCTCTTCATTTTAGGCCAGGTTAACAAATATTTTATATTGTGCCTTAAAGTTGGATGCACAACTCAAGCCTAAATGAGAAACAAAAGGATTTGAGACTAAAACTGACTAAATAAATTGTCCTATTATCAGTTTGGTGTTTGTCTGTATGAGTTCAAAGGCCAGTAACTGTACTTTCACTCCTTAAGGGTTATGGAGAATAATTTTAATCCAATTTTTCTGTAGCGTGGCATCCTTAAGCTTTAAGACAAATCTCAGCTTAAGTTCACAAGAAAAGAAAAGGCAGCTGTAAATCCAGTTGTAAAGTCAGGCCTGAAAGGAGAAATGAAACTCCGCAGTCTGACGACCAAATATTGACTTGTTTTCTGTTGGCTGCTGGCCTCTTTTTACTATTTCAAACCATTTCTTTAAACGATAAAAGGATGACATCTCATTTCAAGGTAAAACTATGCTTTGCAGTGGATAGGTTGGTTTCAAGTTGAAAGTCTCACCACCAGCACTTGTATTCAGTCGGCGTGCACTCCTTGACTCTGCATTGACACTGACAAGAGTTTGGTTTACCATACCGCACCACTTTATTTATAAAGCACATAAAAACAGCAACAAGGCTGTACAATAAAACCAACATGCAAAGGACACAGGATAAAACACATAAATCAACAGAGGTAAAAAAAAGAAACACTTGGAATGACTAAAATAATAAAAACACAGTGAGGTTAAAATCGACTCACACTACATCGAAGGCCGGGGAATAAAAGTGAGTTTTTAAATTAGACTTAACATTAAGAGAGGGAGCCTGCCTGACATGTAGTGATAAATCATTCTACAGTTTTGAACCTTCTATAGAGAAAGTCACCTCTGATCTTGTATCGTGTGCATGGAGCCAATAAAAGCATCTGACCTGATGACATCAGAGAGCGCTGTGGGGCATATGGCTGCAGCAGATCAGAGAGATAACAGGGCAGAACTGTTCATAGCTTGAAAAACATGTTGGAAGTGAACCAGGAGCCAGTGAAGGGAGGCCAAAACTGGAGTAATGTGCTCTTTTCTGTCTGTACCAGTTAAAAATTGAGCTGCAGAATTGTGAACTAGTTGCAAACAAGAAGCAGAAGTCTGACTGATTCCAAAAAGAAGAGCAGATATCCAGCCTGGATGTTGTGGAAGCACGAGTAACTGTCTCAAGGTTACGGTTTAAGTATGGGCTTCAATTTAGACAGTCGCCTCAGATGAATAAAGCTAGATTAAATTGTGTTTACATGACGGTTTATTTTCATGGAAGTGTCCATTTCCACTCTACTTGTTTCTCTAACGTGGCTAGAGAGGAAAGTTTGATACAGTGGTTCCTGTTGGTGCCATTCGGTGTAAACGACATGACTTCTGTTTTAATCCCTGATGTCAAGTATCCCAAGAAGCCAAGGAGAGGTTTGCGATCCTTTCTCTGACAGCACCAAAATATATGCCCTGTCCTAAATTAAATGTTTCTAAACAGTTTAAAGAAAAAAATTGTAGTTTAAAAATGTCAAGAACCTAAATCTTCAGCTCTTTTGGTGACTTTATCCATTCACAGCTAAATGTTTCGGAGCATGTTTTTTTTTTCTTAACAGTTCGACTTTGCTGCTTTTCTCTGGAGACTCAGCTCCACACAAAAATACAAAAGTAAAAGTACAAAATAAAGCCACGTTGTGTAACCAGAAGCTGCTCGAAGAGAAGAGAACAAAAGTGGTGAAAAGCTGAGCAAATCCGAGAGCAGGTCAATGGCGACAGTCTAGATTGTGCAAAATAAAACTCCTCTTCTGTTTTTGTAAGCCGTTCCAGGCTGGTAATTTGGAGGCAGGCAGAAAGACACAAGATCTGTCAGCAGAGCCCAAAATCATGACGCAAAGGCCAGCCACATGTCCCTGTTTCCATGGGCCAGTGCCTGGCAGGATGTCCACAAGTTTGTGCGTTTTACTGTTTGTGTGCGTCCAAATGCGTGTGTGAAGATGGGAGGGTGAGCAAAGGGGAGGCAGCCAATGTGTCCTGACTCCCTCAGGGCAAGTTGCTGAGCGAGCCAGGCCATACTGAAGCCTGCAGGCAAAAAGAGAGAGAAACAGGTGGAGCTGACTCGCCCAAGAACGCTGCCCCGAGTTTAGCAATGAGAGTGTGTACGTGTGTGTGTGTGTGTGTGTGTGTGTTTAGATTGAAGAGTAATAATGCGGTAACGAATGAAATATGCTCTCTCTGTTTGTGCTCCTCTTAAAATTGCAACAACACACAACAAGGACCCTTCATAAATCTCAGGTATTAAATGTCCTAGTTAGCAAGTTTTGGTGAAAATCACAATGAAAGAACACGATTCAAGTTATCTCATATTTCTATTTATTGTGGATGACAGTGTATGTGGTCTAATACTCAGCAATGAAAGCAAGGAACCATAAACTTTAACCAGGGTTACACTTTTGGCCAGTTTCCATGTTTATGTTAGATATGAACATATTCTTGTCTTCTAACTTGTTGAAGTTCTTGTTCTTCTTAAGTCAGGTCCTCTGGAAGGATTAAAAAAGAAATACATTTGAAAATTGTTGAAATGTTTTGTATTTTATCCAAAAGACTTTGTCGGTCTGAAGAGCTGCAATAAACTCGGCCTTATAAATAGCCCCTTGTCGTAGTGGATCAACCAGTTTGCTGGTGACATCCAGAACTAGCTGCTCACATCACAGAGCAGACAGCATCCCCACTAACTCAGGAGCCAGGCAGAAGGAGAAATCCCACACAAGACAGGCTCTAGAGCAATGTGGATATCCTAACTGGGCCTTCCTGAAAGCAGAGAAGAAACCCAAACAGGACTCCAGTCAGCCATCAGGTGAAAAGGAGGAACCCAGACCAGTGGTCATTCCATATGTTGAGGGAGTATCAGAGAAACTGAGACGTTTATTTTCTAAACATAACGTCCCAGTGGCTTTTAAACCCCAAAATACATTACGGCAAAGACTGGTTCATCCCAAAGATCCAGTCCCCCGGCACAAACAGAGTAATGTTGTGTATGCTGTTCAGTGTCAGGAGGGCTGTGATCAGTCTTACATCGAGGAAACAAAACAGCCACTGGCCAAAAGGATGGCCCAGCACAGAAGATCAACATCATCAGGCCAGGACTCTGCGGTCTACACTCATCTCCAGGCCAGCGGTCACTCTTTCAGGGATGAAGATGTTCACATCCTGGACAGAGAGAAACGATGGTTTGAGAGAGGAGTAAAGGAGGCCATCTTTGTGAAAATAAATCGTCCATCATTAAACAGGGGTGGAGGCCTCCGGGTTCAATTGTCCCCCTCTTACAATGCTGTGATTGCTAGTATCACTCAGCCCTCTGTGAACAGTAAACAGCCATCAGTGTGCTAATGATCCATTGTTAGGCTGATGGTCCTTCTTGAGCATGTGATCAGCTGGTTTTGGTTGTCAGCAGAAAAACTGGTTGATCCACTCTGAGAAGGTGCTATTTAAGAGACTGAGCTGAAAACAGCACCTCAGACTGAAGAAGTCTCTCGGACGAGAGACGAAACGTTTCTACATTTTTTGTTGTTTTGCTTTGTTTTGGTTTTTTTTTTTAATGTCCAGAGGACCAGATTTAACTTTTTTAGATTTTTCTACCTGGATTATTGAGCATGCATCAGGATAATTTGAATTAATATTCAAACCGTTCATCTGCATCTTTGTAGCCAATAAGGCTCTCAGATCATGAACGCACCAGTTACCTATGACGTAAGCAAAGGACAGCTCTGTGGAGCAGAGAGACATTTATGGACAGAAGAGCTGGACAAAAAGCCAAAATGGAGACAGAGAAAATGACGAGGTAAAGGCTGAGGACGAGTGTCTGTGGTCGTACCTGGAGGAATGTTTCATGAACAGAAAAGGAGACGGAGTAAACTTTGTTTGATCTCTACACTGACAGCAGCTTACAAGACTTCATCTAACCTCAGAAAACATATTGTGGTATACAAGGTTTCACAGCTACCTGTATGATGTTAAATTTTATTGTTTGTATGTGTGGGTTATTAAGATGGCAAAGTATGCAAACATCTTAGATAATGTCGCTGCCATCGGTTTGTCTGGTACTAAAATAAGACGGAGCTTCTGAGCGTCTAAGAAATATTAAATGTAGCGATTATATACAGTAAATCAAACTGAATGTCTTCTGTTGACAACACAATGAAACATCTATTGGTAAAAAAAAGTATTCAATACTCTGAGTAGTTTTTGAGAAGAGTACTTTGTACTTTTAATTAAGTATTTTTATAACACCAATACTTGTAATTGAGTACAATTTAAGCAGTGTAACCGTACTTGAGTACACGTTTTAGTACTCTTTCCACCTCTGATTTTAAGAGAGGGACAGTTGAACACGGAGGCCTCTGCCATGTTTAATGATGGACGGTTTCTCTTCTGAAAGATTTTTTTTTAGAGTTTTCTACTTGGATTATTGAGCATGCATCAGGATATATCCTTGTCTTGTTGTTTTTATGTCTGTCATACTAGGTGGTACTTCAGTTCACTTTATTCAGTTCAGTTTAGTTATATAATGCCAAGTCACAGCAGAAGTCGTCTCAAGGTGCTAAACAGAAACATTCACATACATTATAAAAGCCAGTTAGTAAAATTGATCAATCTTAGGACGCCAGAAAATTGTGTTGACTTGGATAGCTTTGTATTTTTGTTCCCTGTTGTGGAGAGAAGAGAGTGTATTGGAAATACTTTCCATCCGTCCATTCGCCTGCTTGTGTTATGAGCATGATAACTTGAAGAATAAGTGAGGTACCAGCTTTCACTTTGGTGTGTGGCTGCATCTAGATGTAAGGAAAGTTCCTTTTGAAAACTGGGTTGCCATGTCAAGATAGAAGATGGCTACTGATATACATCTATATTTGTAAACCATTTGAGCAGGATAACTTCAAAACTAAGCTATGTGCCAACTTCCACTTTGGTGTGTGTGACTGCATCTGGGTGTAAGAAAGATATGATGAAAAACTGGGTTGCCATGTCTAAATCCAAGATGGCCACCACCATATGAAATATAAACCAGCCATTCTAATCATTTGAGGAATCTATGCTTTCTAGTTTTTATATTACTTAAAAGCCTAGTTTTCTCAAATGGTTGGCGTGGCAGATGAGGTGGATGAAGTTTAATCTATGGTGGCCACCCCTGTCTCCACCATTGCGCCTGGTGGTGGAGACAATCGTAAATTCCACTCACTTGCCACTGCCTCATACAAGAAAAAAATAAATAAATTATTTTATATATATATATATATATATATATATATATGACCTCTCTTCTTGGTATGGTGCTTGGTGCAAACAGTTTGAGAATCACTGGTTTAACCCATATATCTGGTATTTGGACTGACTCAGATTGACCCAACACAAAGTTGGGGGAAGGTCTAGAATAGATGGTTGAGATTATTTTTACAATTTAAGTTTTAATTTGCAACTAAAAGGTCACGTCTGAATGAATAAAGATGATATATATTCGCCTGATTGAATAGAGTGATTTCTTTAAAGTCCAAATGTTTGAGGAAAAAAACACAAGTTTTAGGTTTTCAAATGTGGACGCTGTTGCTCCATTAATCTTCTGAAAGAGTTTATTTTAGTCATTATAAAAAGTACAAGACGGAAAACTGGGGGAGAATAACTGCAGATTATGGGGGATTTAACACTGAATATTACACAGTGTTAACACATTTACATGTTAGGGACCTTAAATACATTTATAATCCAGCTATGAGATTCAGCTGGCTTCAGACAGAATAAGCTTGTTATTGTCAGAAGAAATAGCGGTTGTCTCCAAAGCTTCTCTGCGGCATCGACACATATAAGCCCGGATTCATTGATTTGTTTGCATTCAGAAATACAAACGCAGCCAAAATAACGGCCCGCTCGGCTTTAAAACTTTGTTCATACCTAATAATATGAATAATTAAAAGAAAGGGTAAAGTCATACAGCAGAAAATAGTCTAATATTTGCAAAAGGCTGCTTTCAGTAGTTTAAACAGATGATTAAGAAGAGTTAGTGTTGCAGTTAATTAGAAACCAGTTGTGATAACCACCTGCTCAAACATACAGATGGGACAACTGTGTTTTTTTCCCATGACTGCCAGAGAGTGTTGTATAAATGGGATGGAAATAATTGAAGATGGATGTAATGTTCCTCGATGCACTCAGGATTTTATTAATGTCACATAAATGCAGAACGATGCAGGTTTCTGCAGTGTAGCCCAAGACAGACATGAGCACACTCACACACACACACAGGTGTAATTACCTGCCAAATCCAAGACAAGATGTCCTGAGAAGATGAACTGATTAATATTCGTGGAAAAGGGAATTCGAATGAAGGAAGATAAGATATTCTCTTTTTTTACATATATTGCTCAAAGATGAGTGCACTAAGAATGATTCACTAAAAAGATACAAACTTTTATGGTCCCATCTACATTGCGCTGTTTTTTAAACTGATTTCTGTTGAGTTGCACTTCTTGTCCATGTGCAAACTGAGAAAAAAAAAATTGTTTATTTTTTATAAATACTCACCAAAGTGGACATTTAAAAATAATTTCTTAATATTACAAAGAGCATGCAAAATAACAATGGAGCAGGTTTTACTTTTTGTGTGCGTGTGTCTTATTCATCCAGTTCCTGTTGCCAATAAACTTTGATTGTGTGCTAAAAAGATTTATAGCTGAGAATGAACAGTTGCTTTGAAAAGATCTTTAGCTCAGTGTTTGATGTTTGTATTGTGCATATTTTTGTCAGAACCGTGTAGACGTAGCCGAGGAAAAGAACATAATGCATGTGTCAAATCATATTGTCCGTCAAAGTTTTAGTTTGCTTATTGAGTATTGGACCAATATCTATTTTATTAAAAAAAAACATTTGTGCTTGATACCAGAAAGCAGCTCACTTTGTTCTTACAAGTAAATTTTGGAACTTAAAAATGTATTTATTTATTTATTTATTTATTTTTGCTCTGGATTATAATTTCTCTAATTTTCCAGAACATACTATTTTTTCTCATCCAGGGAGCGGTGGTGCAGAGG